TCCAAACTAATTGATAGAAATGCTTTGTGGTTGTTTTTCAAAGTATTTTAAAAATTCTTTCTTTTTTTTTTTCAAAATAGTTTAAACTTAAGTTAGTCCCATCAGACTATTCAGCAATAAGGGCATACAATGAAATATTTGTTTATGTAAAATATCAGGTCGTTATGATAATGAAAAGTTGTCAATATAAATAAGTTTTTTTTTTGTTATAGGCATGAACTATTGGAGATTGTCATTAATGAAAGGAAATCCATAACTAGCTTAGCTTTTTTTTTTTTTATGTATTCTGTGTACAGAATAAAAAAGTATACATATGCAAAGTATTTTAATAAAAGCATAAAACTAATAATAATTTTGTGAACTTTTAGCATTGGTAATCAAACATCCAAGCTTTTTTTGACCACAAAGTATTTTTTTTTAAATCAGCAACGATGATCTTTAAACAAGACATTGTTTATTTGGTCTACTTATTTCAATAGTCCTTCTAATGGTTTCTTTCCATTTTCTTACCACTTTTTTCCATCACATTGCCACCCTGTTTCTTCATATCGCTTCACATCCTTTGTCTCTCTGAATTTATTTGATTGCTTTTAAATACGTAAGTTTAAACAAAGAGTAGATAACTGTGATTAACTTTTAGTCTGAACCATAGACTTATATATTATACTAGACTGGAAACGGAAATAAATTCTCACCGCGATTGATCGATTTACAGACCTATATATATATTTATATAGATTGTTATGTACGTAAACTCTTTTTCAAGCTCTAAGGGGAGTCGCCCCAATCAATCTTTTCTGTCTTGGAAAAGTAATGATCTTAAGTTTTCAAAGTTTAGAAATAATGCAAAATCACGCAAATATATGAAACAAAGCCATTTCCTGCTTGTTTCCATTGAGATAATGTCTCAAAAATAATTCATGTTGATTTCAATCATCTTATGTACATTTAAATAGACTGATTACCTAGATCGTTGGTATCTAAAAATGGCAAAGTAATAATTATGAGACGAGAGCACTCTTATTTCTTGATGTTCAATTATTAGATGTAAAAATTAAATTATATGTTACATAGGTTAGGGTTGGAAAAAAAAACAACAACCAACAACTGTACTTCTTTTAACTACTTTACAAAACAAGGCCTTGTTACAACTTTCTAAAATATTTTTTACATTGTTTGTAGTGTTAAAAAATCCCCATGTCCATTCTAGACATAGTATATATAAGTCTATGGTCTGAACATTTCCATTGACGTAAGGGGAGTTAATAGTATAAAAAAAATAAAAAAATTCCCCCTTTCAGGCATCGCAAAAGATGTAGAAATCATTTGTTTCTGTGGCCCAAAGTTAACGAGGGTGTCATGTGGCCAGCACAACGGCCTACCAACTTTACATTTCCCGAACTAATTTCAGGTACCCATTAGATATGGGTGGACTGGGAGGCGCCTTAAAGATCCCGAAATAAAAAATCCAAGTCTTCTTCAAGACTCGAACCTGAGACCTTCGCTTCAGAAGCCAAATACTTAACTACGTCAAATGGGATGTTCGCTTGTTTTCGGTTTGGTTCATTATATTCGCTAGTAATAACTTAATCCTTGTTTTTAATGTAATTCCACCATCCTATTTCTCTTCTTGTTACTCTTGGGGTTTCTTGAATAGCTTCCCATAATTCATAAGGATACAAGCGTAGATCCTTTTTTTTAAATATTTAAATCCAGTTCGAACAACCAATTATTATTATCACGTGAAAACAGGATGTGAGAAGTCTAGTCCTTATGTCACCATGACATAAAATACCAGGATCTCGGTCTTCCAGGTTTACCAGCAAAGCATATTAATCGCCCGAGCGTCGGCTCGGTTGTTTTTTTTTAACTGCAGAAGCAGAGCAGCACACTATCATTTTTTTGTTTTATGTTCCAGAAGAGTTCTAGAGGATAGAAAAGATATTGGTTGATTAATTGTCTACTGCTAGATGATCTAGCTGATGAATGTGCGTCTCGTGACTTGTTTTATAGTAAAAGTACATCACGCTTTTGAGTGTTTACAGTAAATATAATCAATATTTATTCCACTTCTATTTCCTTAGAAAAAACTGAGAGATAAACGTTTAAGATGTGTGTTTGTGTGTGTGTGGAAAGTAACTCTGCATGAAAGTGTGTGTGTGTGAGTGTGAGGAAAGTAACTCTGCATTAAAGTGTGTGTGTGAGTGTGAGGAAAGTAACTGCATTTAAGTGTGTGTTTGTGTGTATGAAGAAAGTAACCCTGCATTAAAGTGTGTGTGTGGAAGGTTACTCCGCATTAAAGTGTGTGTGTGTGTGTGTGTGTGTGTGAAGAAAGTAACTCTGCATTTAAGTGTGTGTGTGTGGAAAATAACTCCGCATTAAAGTGTGTGTGTGTGTGGAAAGTAACTCTGCATTAAAGTGTGTGTGTTTGTGTGGAAAGTAACTGCATTAAAGTGTGAGTGTGTGGAAAGTAACTGCATTTAAGTGTGTGTGTGTGTGTGTGTGGAAAGTAACTCTGCATGAAAGTGTGTGTTGGGAGAGTTTTTTTTAGAAGAGCTTTTACAAAATGTTTTTGGTTGTATTTTGTCATGGGTACCATCATCATAGCATCCATTAAAACATGACGTTGTCATAGCACCCAGGTAAGACGTGAGGTCATATCACCCAGGTAAGGTGTGAGGTTGTTTTAGCACCCAGGTAAGACATAAGGTTGTCATAGCGCCCAGGTAAGGCGTTAGGTTGTCATAGCCCGCAAAGCAACCATAACCTTTAGTGACAAACACTGAATTAAAAATTATAAAAATAACTATGATCACAATCTTATTAACTATTTTCGGGAAAATATTTGACTTTGCCAGATGACATAGCAGAAGCGACTACAGAGAATTATGAGATTCCATTAGCTTCGTTTTTTTTTAACTTTGTCTAGAGTAGAGAAAGAAAAGCAATAAAAGAATCTGTTACATTTGCTTGCTATATTTGTTTTTTATTACTTTTGTGTTTCTATTAACGATGTGTGGTATGACATATGTTGAAAAATTTCACCAATGAATTTATCATATCTAACCTGTTACAAATGTAAGGTGGTTGGTGGATATTTTTAACATAGAGGCGATTCCATGAATAGCATGTTTTTTTGTTTTTTTTATATATCCGCTGTACAGAATACGGAAGTTTTGATAAGCTAAGTATTTTAATAAACGATTTTTTTTTTTGGCACTTCTCACCACTATAAAATCAAAACTTTAAGCTCAATTTATTTCGCTTGATGGAAAAAAGTACTTATGCTTAGTTGGCAACAGTGACCTTTCTCTTAGGCGCCCTTGACCTTGATTAGCTTGTCTCCCACTCTTCTGCTTTTCATTTTTTTTGACGTGTTTTTGCGTTCCATTATCTTACCACCACATTTCTTGACAACGCTTTCTCTTCTTTTTCTCTCGTGTTCAAGGCTATTGCTTTAAGAAGGTCACTTGGATTCTAGAAAGTAAAGTGTCAGCCAAAAGAAGGTGTCTTGCTTGAAAAAAATTAAAATATTTTGGCATTTGATGTTGGATTGAATAAGTTGGTCTACGAGTACTTTGAACGAGTTTTTTTTTTTTTTTTTTTAGCCCACACACACAGAAGACTCCACGAAGGGACGAGTTCAATAGATAGAATGTTAAAATGGATCTTTGAATGAAAGCAAAGCATAGTAGATGCGCCTGTCCTTGACATGCTTACCATGTGCACTTTGTACTTTGAAACAAAGCATAGCATACTAGATGAGCCTGTACTTCCAAAAATTATTTCATTTCCCTTACTTTACTATAATAATATGCATATCTTAATGACATTTCGCATTTTTAAAATGTGGAGACTTGTATGTCATGCTCATAGGCACAATTTAACAACGCTAATTGCTTTCACATTCTTGTTCTACTTTGTTCACACTTTTTTTTTTCTTTGTACATATTTCGATAGAGTTTTGGCGCTTAGGGAGCCTATTATGCTACCCACCTAATATGCTACCCATTAGTGGGCAAGTCGACTTATATTGTACCCTTTTTAAAAATAAAGTTGCTACTTATAATGATTTAATTATAATAAACAGCATTTTAGTTTCTGTGGCGATTTAGAGATTGTATATTTGTCTGATTTTAGGGACTCAGGTTTTCGACTCTGCGTTAAGAGTCAAGCTTGATCGGGAGATAGACCAGTGTATATGTTCTGAAGGCTTTCTTATCTTATCTTATATAATACAGACGTTACTTCAAAAAAGAAGATTACGTCCTACGCTTCATGCATTCAGCCATGCATATTAACCAATGACTTAAATTCTGCCAAGTCACTGGTTTTCCTGGCTAGCTCAGGCAACCCATTCCATGCTCTAATAGCGCTAGAGAAGAAGGAGTATTTGTACACATTTGTCCTAGCATATGAGATGAGGAATGTGCCTTTATCTTTGTGTCTTTCTGAGTATTTTATTAAATTTTGTTTCTTGTATTTGAAGATTATGGTTCAGTGTTTTGTAAGGGCCGTAATTGGTCGGTGGCATTTGTGGACCTGTATTGTACTTCAGTTTTGCGACCAATGTGCACCTCCGTGTCATGCGAGTGCTTTTACCAATGTATCGTCATCCGAACACATACATTTTTTAAATATTGAGTATTCACCTTCGTTAATTACTAATTATAAACCAGTGCTCATATCATCTCCTTAAACATTTGGTAATCAATGCATGTTGTTAAGTAATGTACGACAGTTCATTTGCATTACTTGTTTGGCTTAATTAATGTACTCAATTACTGGACTGTCAGCCGGGCAGACGTAAAACACAAAAAAATACAAGCCCCCTTTTTAAAGGTGAGTCCCTGTGCACAGTCTTGCACTATTGTAAATCAGGCCTTGGTTTTAAATACTAAATCTAGGTTGAGATATCCATGTCAAGATAGGTCGTACATGTGTTATTACGTTATCCGTGTTATAAAAACAGTATCAAGAGAAAACAATGAACGAGCCGTGTAAGGTAATAAATTAATGTATTTGTCTACCTGACATAGTATCATTAACCAACAGGGCAATAAATAATAAACATCAATTTGAAGAGCGCATTTATCATTGTGCGCATGTCAGACGGAAACAGAAGTGGCAGCAAACCGTGTAACTAATTTTTGACCAGCAAACATCATTCACAACACAGAGAAATTCTTTATTAGTGTAGTATAATCTTGTCCCAATTTTTACAAATGGCAATTCATGTACATATGTTTGTAATTTTTAAAAGGTTTACTTTTTGACGTAGTGGCCGAAAATGGCGATAGTAGAATAAAAAAAAATGATGGATGCGTGAGGGTCAAGAGGTCAAATGAAAAAACAAAACTAATAACAATAATAGTCACATTACACATATCACATGGCAGGGCAGTGGTGACCAGAACAGTGGTGACCAGAACAGTGGTGACCAGAACAGTGGTGACCAGGACAGTGGTAACCATGACATCGCATCATAGGTCATGGTGACGGCAAATGACCTGCTAGGTCAAGTTATCCATGACACAGTAGGGCTGCGGTGACCATGACATCACATATTAGGTCACAGTGACAATGACAAAAGACATTGTGGATCAAGTTGACCATGACTTATCACATGGTAGGGCTATGGTAACCATGACACACTACAGTGACAATGACGGTGGACATGGTAGGTCATGTTGACTTAGACATCAAAGGGCAGGTCAAGGAGACCCTAAAATATCACAAGGTAGGTCAATGGTGACAATGACATGTAGATTCAAAACAAATACGTCCTCTCACTCATGCTAATCTTGAGGTTGCTATCGATGACAAGTGGATGAATCAATTTACAAAACATGAGTAGAATCCCATATTTAGGTGTGATAGTCTTCAAATCAACTAACAAACACAGTCTTCAGCAAGGTTACATTGCGAACTAAAATCTCATGAGTTTAAGTTTAATGAAAACTTCCACAGAATGAACACTTTTCAGTTCTCATTGTGATAAAAAATAAACCAATACTTAAACAATATGTTCTAAAAATATAAATGCTGTCACTCAAACAGTGGCGTAACTAGGATGGGGGGGGGGGGGGTCCTAATTTGAAAATCCCCCTGGGCTTCCATTAGAGGTGGGGGGAGGGGAAATGAGTGTCCGAAATTTGATTTTACATTATTTATCACGCCATTAACTCATGTTATGATGTCGAATATCAAATTGCAGGGCCCCTAAAGAGGTCAAGCCGCCCAGGCCCCCAAATCCATAGCTACGCCACTGAGGTAAAATCTGTTAGGAAATGCAAATGTCTAGATTGGCTATCCTTGCCTTGCCTATACTTATTCATTTTGAGATCAAACCGACCTTCTTTTGGTATATGACAATTATATATATGATGAAAACAAATTAAAGTTACTAAGTAGCAATGGTCTGAGACTAAACAATATTAGGATGAACAAAATGATGAATAGAATGAACGTTTCCTCAAGGCTGTTGTAATAAAGGTCATAAATACATATATTGAAACAAAGTATTAACTCAGGATAGTTGAGTTCTTTTTGTGGTGACATCCTCCAGAATCACTATGGTTCCTCTGGTAAGGCAATTTTTTCATGCAACTGTAGAGCTCTGTACTAGACAGACACTCTCGTCCACATCGAGGGTAAAGTCAAGGCTGGAGTGTCCTTTCCAGTTTTTAAAGTTGGGGCCTTGAATGTAACGTGAAGAAAGGCATTGTGACTAAGTAAAAATATTCGATAATCAATAATTATAAGCTGAGAATTAGGTCAACTTTATCTGTACACGCAGCTGTGGTCAATTTAGTTGGAGGGTCAGTTACCCTAATGGGATGTTAATGCAGGTCATGGAGGTCGCAGGTGAGGTAAGGCTGGCTGAAGAAAGGTAATTAGATGACAGATCATTGAAGGAAGAGTTACTCAGGTGGTGGCTGGGCTTTGGTCTAAGCCCCTCTTGTGCAAGAGCGTCGTTGTGGCGAGGTCGACAGTCCACGGAAAAGCTTTTATTGTAGGCCGGACGATCGTTTTTCGAGCAGTCCTCGAAATAATTGCTGACCGAAGCGGCTCGCTGTTTCTTGTTGCAAAGCGCCAGCTTTGAGTTGTCATAGGACTGGATAGGCGGTGGCGGGTATGAGACTCGTAGAAAAGTGTTGGGGTTGTTTAAGGAACGAATGCTGAAAATCGTTGAATCGAAGGCGTCGTCAGGAAATTCCGAGAACGCATGAGCTACGAAAGAGGCAGGCGCCTCTCGCACGCTCGAAAGCTGCTCTTTAAGGCAAAAATGCCCGTCGTTGGACTTGTCCAAAAAACTATCGCTACATCCACAAGTGCTGGTCAACTGCCTCTCCGCCACCTCGCTTTCCGGTCGTCTGATCTCGTCGATGCCGTCACTGGCGTCGCTGGCAGTACTGCTCATCATGCTGTACGAATCGCTGCTAAAGTCGCTGAGGTCACTGCTGGGCAGCTTCCTGGAGCGGTGCTCCGCGTAGCTGTGCAGACGAAACTGAAAGCCTTGTCCCAGGCTGACGTCGGGCGTTTTCATGTCAGGTTGGACTGAAACAGAGGTCAATAAAAGTTCAGGGGTCAAGTTTAGCGGTTTGACTTCCGGTGACCTTTTTGTGTTTTTGAAGAAGACAACATCGACCGGTGGGTCTAAACTGAGATACGAAGCTATATTCTGGTTTACGTGTAGGCCCTGATGTGCATTGTCTGTCAAATCCACCAGACCTGTTCTGGAAGCCTGGGGAGAAGGCGAGTTTGCGTAAGCCGGAATTGGCGCTGTTTGGTTGTCTGTTGGCTTTAATACTATGTCAAGGTCACTTGGAGGATCAAGTATAATCATAGAGCTTCTGAATCGATTTTTCTCAGGACTGATTACTGAAAAAAAAAATCATATTTTAGTGAAGTAATTAAAATTTTTATATCTTTTAAGAAATATTCAAGTTAGCTCAATTAGAAACGATAAATGTCAACAAAACTGTTAACATATTTCAGGCTAATAGTTTTAAAAAAATATGTGAAAATTAAACCAGAAATAAACTTTAAAATGACAGTAAATTGATTGCATCTGTCGCTTAAAAGATGTTACATACAATAAAAGACAATACATATGTATTTCATTATTTAGCAACCTGGGCACATTAAAGTTCCTTTTTCAGACCTTGAGATCTATGGGGCAGATGATGTAAAGGTCATCTGTTTCTGTGGCTCACGGTTAACGAGTGTGCCATGTGGACAGTACAACGACCAAACGCCTTTACTTTTCCCCGACTAATGTCAGGTACCCATTAGAGCTGGGTGGACTCAGAGGCGCCCGAAAATCCCGAAATTAAAAATCACCAAGGTTCGAGCACCAGCTTAAAGATGTGTGAAAGTTTCACCGTGGGAGCACCTGTACAGGTTAGTAGTTATTATTTTTTTTAAAATTCTAAAATGTTCATCGAAAAAAACAATGCATCTATAACATGCCACATCAAGAAAATGGGCTAATCACTGATAGATCGGATAAAGAATTTTCGAAACCAAAATCCAGCAGCTCTGTGTTCGAAACATTGTGGCAGCTCAGAGGAAGCTAGTTGTTTGCTAAAGCGCGCTGAGTTTAGACGAGCGTTAAAACCCAATTAGACCAATATATGATTTAGTCGATATGAGAAATATGTGATTAAGTGAGATTAGGTCAATGTGACTAAGTGATGGTTTGATCTACGTGTGATTAGGTCAGTGAATAGGTCAGTGATTTTTTTTTTTTACATATTTCTTGTCTTTTACCCATTGAGGTCGTAGTAACAAAAACGTTTTAAGAAGAAAAAAAAAGGTTGAAGGGGACGCAGAATAGTATCAACATGCTTGCACTTTATCAAGTGAATAAATGTCAGACGTATGTCAAATGTCAACTGACGGCTGACATCGGCACGCGGAAGTCGCTCGTCTTGTGCCTCTCTCCTGAGTTACCTTTCCCTTCCCACCCCACACTTGCAAACAATTTGAAGAGTTTTTTTTTTGTTTAAAGTTATACCTAATAGACATGAAGTCATCTAATCGATTCCAGTAAATACTAGATCTAGTAAAAGATAAGTCAAAACAAAAAGGCGGGGTGGTTTTTTTTTGTGTTGTTGTCTTCTAGATCTCTATGTATACAAGCTTACTAGTCCCGTCTTCAGCTAGATCAAGTTCTAGTTTGAAAACCCAAACATAGCTTTTCCAGTTTTAATACTAAAGTAGCCAATTTACATAGCAAGATGAAGTTTTGTATTGCGAACAGCAACAAGCCGGTTCAGTTTTCCAAAGTTCAAAGTTCGTTAAAGAATTTTTTCTTACAAATAAAATATAAAAGTAGTTTTAAAAAAATAAAAAAATTACTCCTTTATGAAGCTGAAGACTTTTTGTAAGATCGATTTCTTTGTTCTTCATAAGTAATGAATTATAGATAAAAACAAGGAACATTTTATACCGTGTATTAATACATCGTATACGTATTATGAATATATTGTAATAACTAAAGGGAGGCAAACTCAACGAGACATAGACGTTTATTTACAGGACATCACAAATATAAGTAGAACAACATGTCTTGAGCACAGCATCTTTACATCAGCTCTCACTTGGGCGGACATCGTTCTCTCTCTCCTAATGTCAACATCCTTCCTGTCTAGTCACTGATAGTGCGCACCTTCTTTCTGCACTATCTTGGATGGCGGTGTGCATGGCAAGGTTATAACAATATGTATACTGTCACCAATTAATTCTACCAGCCCAGCTAATAAATTCATAAGACGGTGCTCAATCTTATTCTGAACGTCAAATTTAAAAACTTTCTATTGGATATGTGAAAGTTCAGGGGTCAAGTTCAGCGGTTTGACTTCCGGTGACCTTTTGCGTTTTTTTGAGGTAGACAACATCGTCCGGCGGGTCTGAACAGAGATTTGAAACTATCTGATGTACTTATGTTCATAATAAAAAGCAGCAAGCCAAATTTAATGATGATTATATTTTGAAAAAAGTATAACGGTCAAACCAGACTTTCCCTGTGTGGCCAATTAGTTGGAAATTCTTTTAAACTTTCACATTTCTAGGAAAATCGTTACAACTGTTTTCGAGATCCGTGTTCATGTTTGTTTTTAATTCACGAAGAGTTCGCAAGCTGATAAGAGGGGTTTATAAATACTTTTAAATTATGGATTCTTTTATTGTGAAATAGAGACATAAGAACAAATGCACTGGGAAATTTGACATACTCGTGTCTTTGATAGTGAATGTATTATTGCCAGTAGTATTAGAAGTCGGTAGTGTTAATATTCAGTAGTAGCAGTATTGTTATTCTGGAAAACTAAAGGGAAAAAAAACTACTGTTGTCCTAGCAAAATGTATATATTGTTTGACCAGGTGTTTTATTTAGCCTGGTATACTATTCAGTAGATGTGTTGTTTGGCCAGGTGTGTTCAG